AATGATTTTTGGCATAAAAGAAAAATGTATAATTTTGACCCATACAATGTATTGTTGGCTATTGCTACAGATATACCCCAGCGACTTAAGCCTGCTTTTGTGCTCCAGGGTCACATATGAGAAATTACATTGATACAATGCAGATCAAAACTGTTCAAAGGTTTTGAGTTAGTAATTAATGCTTTTATTCAGCAAGGACACATTAAATTGATCAAAAGAGACAGACATTTATGTTTTCACTTTCTATTCATCAAAAATATATAAAAAATAAAATAAAAAAAAGATTTCCAGCACAACTCTTTTCAACGCTGATAATAATAATTAATGTTTCAGATCAGCATATTAGAATGATTTCTGAAAGATCATGTGACACTTAAGACCGGAGTACTTGTTCAGCTAAAATTCAGCTTTGCCACCACATAATATAATAAATTACATTTTAACATGTATTCAACATAAAACAGTTATTTATAATATTTCACAATAGTACTGTTTTTACTATATTTTTGATCAAATGCAGCCTTGGTGAGCAGAAGAGACTTAGTTTTTCTCCTAAGAGAATATAACTTTTGAACAGCAGTGCACATAAAATAAACTATTCATAAACTATTTTGAATATTTAACTTTCAGGCTTTCCAATCTAGAACAACTTTGATACACAAGACTCAATTAGATACTTTTTTTTAGCTACATCACTAATTAAAAACCCATGACACAAAATTTGTAATTCCAGGTTTCTCATAAGAAATAATCCTCGGCTTACACTGTAAAACGTTTTAAAATGAAGAGATTTGATTCATAATTCACTTCTTTTGCAAGATTTTTGCCGTAACAGGTCTAACTTCACAAAATGTATCTTTATGGTACTCGTAATAATACCGTTATCATAAATATATGAAGCATTATAGTTAAGCGCAAAAAGTGTTATGGTATAAAAATTACTTATGACGCCTACAAAATGATGAGACAAATTAGTTTGTCATATATATTTTCATGACATGATCAACCGTTTCACAAGGAAAGCAAAACGTTTTTACAGCTTGTAGGTGCCTTTCTCTTCTTTTATCATTTATGCATCATATTCATTGCTCATACTTTGGTCAGTATTTAAAAGAAAGGAAAAAGTCTTTTCTTCAGGATGTACAAGACTGTAGCCAGGAAGAGCGCGAGAGCGAGGAAAATAAGCAGCTTGTCTGTCAGTTCCCGTCGATTGTATTTAATGATCAGCTTTCTGCCCAGCTGTATAGTTCCTGTCAAGGCTTTAAACTCTTCATTAGTTTCCTGCACTGTCCTGGAAGAC